TTGGCCATCATCAGGCTAACCGCAGCACGGCTGGACCCGAGGCCAGACGAAATTGCCCCAGAGTTTCTGTGGACGTCATGTGAGCCCGTTCCAGTTTCAGGTTCCAACCATGCCTCACACCCCAGCACTGGCAGATGAACCAGGAGGCAGCTCCGGTTGCTGTTGCTGTTCCTGTGGTATCACAGCATATCACATTTTTGCTAGACCTGAGGGCGGGGATTCGGACGGCCGAGAAGCTCGAGCCAACCTTATGAAGCATGATGCTGAGCCTCTTTAGGGTCCCCGCCAATAAAGCTGCAGACAAGCTGAGCCAGAAAGACAGCATATGAACCAATGAAAGAGGTTGGAGGGGATTTTGTAACCATCGTGTAACTTTTGTGCTCATTGATGGCAGCAGCCAGATGCAACCCAAATCCATGTGCCTAAGGATGTATGTGGCAGGTGGTTTTGATGACCGTCAGCCACGAACCGGGCGAGAGAGGGCTCTGCGTTTGGTGGTGTCTTGGCTCGCGCCTTAGCCATTGCGGGCATTCCCAAACGCACCAAACGCACCGTTGCTTCAACGGAGGCCTTGGGTTTTACTACAACTCTTTGCCATCGTATCTCGGCCAAATCTTCCACCATGCTGGCTGGGGGCTGACCAGCTGAGATCAGCTGAGGTTGTAGATTCTGCTGCTCTCATTGAGCCCGTGCTGAAGAATGGCCTTGACGAACTTTGGTTAACAGCCGAGCCAACTGTCTTCCATGCTGCTCAGCAATGAAGATGAGGTTGACTTACCAACTTGGAGTGTTAATTATACTGGTATGTTGATGTATGTTGTGTATCACATACATATGTATGATATATGCATGCATTTTGACATAATTATCACGTATATACATGTGTATATTGACATGAACACCCGCGCTCAGATGCACACCCGCACACAAATGCGTATGTATATCTATGTATGTCTACCTCTTTTCTTAAATCACGCTAAAACACACACACACACAGAGAGATACACATACATGCGTACATAAATAGATGTATGGGTAGCTTTCTGCGTTCTTTGCTTTATCTCAGTGATCCCAGGCTCTGAAGATGGTTTTCCTGCATTCTACTCAGAGCCTCAGAGCCTCAGAGCGAGCCGTTAGGTGAGGCAGGGACCCGGTGGCCTGAGGTCCCTGGTGTACCTTGCAGACGTTGCGCTGCGGCTCTATGGATTTGGGCCCAAGGCCCTGGTTGCAGCATGTTGCAGCTGCAATCGGATGTCTCCCATCCTGTCCCATCCTGTCTCTTGCTGTCTCTTGGAGGTTTTCTTTGGCAAATGGTGGAACCTGCGACGCTCCCAGCCTTTTTTTTTTGAAGTGTTTCCAAAGCCGGTGATGATTGAGATGGCTTTTGGGGCTTTTTGGGTGACATACTTCCTGCTACATGGCTTTGTGAGAAAATAGGGTGCTCCAAATTACAGTGGATTATCATTGCTTTCCTCATCAAATGGTCAATTGTCAGGTTCTTCCTAATGCTTTCATTGCCCGATCTCGTGGGTTTTCTCCGGGCTACCCCGCGTGGTCTGACACAGGTTTGACACCGCCATTGTGATCCTCACCGCTGCGAACGCGATCTCAGCGGTCACCGAGTCAGCTGGCGGAGTGGGCTCGGACCTTGAGATTTTGCTCGTTGAAATCTGGAGAAATCGGAAGATTATGGAAGATTTGTAAGGGTAAGTGATAGTAAGTGTCCCAAAAATAGCATTGTTTCAGGTTACTTGAATTATGATTTGTGAATATTTATGAAAATTTATCCAGATTTTTATGGGTTTGTCCTGAACATGGGTGATACCGCCATGAAAGTTGTGATTTTCTCTTTAGTGCACATGATGATAAACCATGGGATATTTGGGGGTGCCCTATTTTCAGACAAACCCAACTGGGGCAAGTAGTTGGATGATGTTGGATGTGATGGTCGAGAATTATTGGATCATGATGCCGCATGATGCCCATGGCAGGAGTTGAGGTGTTCGAATTATTTTCTGGAATGTTGCCGATTGGGTCATAATCGCAGTCATGGTCATGATCGATCATGGGAGTTTGGAGTTCCTATGAGTTCCTGAGTCACCCACAGCCCAATGCTCTTCGAGCCAAGGGCCATTTCGATTCTTGCGCTTACTGCGGGCCTTCAGGCTCAATGCAGCTAGATTAGGCTAGATTAGATACTTTAAATTACTTTAAGACTGTCTAAGACTAATAAGAGTTTTCAGCCAATTCAGCTGGTGGCTCCTCGCAGGGTGTTGCGAATTGTTCGCATCGCACTCTTCATGAGCCACACGGTTCCACGCTGTTGAGCTTTGGCTGCAGATTCTTGCATCAGCTGTGTTATCGTCCCAGAAGTCTTATGATGGGTTCTGCTGAGGGAATCGAATGCCGTGGCCTCAGTGCCAGATTCTACAGATTCTATTTGGGACTCCAGCCCTGATAACACTGTAACACACCGTGGTCAGCCATCCCCACGTCCTTACGCCTTGCAAGCCTTCCAGGCGCTGGCCGCCAGCTGAGGCGCCGTATCACGGGTGAAAACAAGCGTCGCTTCGTCTCTTTGGAGCAGGACTTTGACCTGGACCTGGTGTATATCACGTGCCCAGCTTAGATGTTGGCTGACAGGATTTCAAATATATTTCCCACATGGTTTGCGAGAATCCTCAGCACATCCTAACATGTAAAGGATGGTATCATTACCAACATAGTATGCCCATGTAATCATCAACCATCAGGGGCTCAGCAGCCCCTCAGATGTGAAAAACAACGCAGCGACGCTGAGGCCCAGGCTCATTAGCATGAGCGTGCCAGCAGGTGGTTGCCTGTAGCATCCTCAGAGCTGGCTGCGCAGGCTGCACTTCCAGGAAGGCAGAACTTTGCAATAACTTTGCGACACTTTTTTGGATTGTAAATCATGTGGCAAGTTTTCAGATGGGTTTCAGATTGTTACGTTATGTTTGAAAGGAGAGTTTGGCACCTCAGGATGCGATTCTATCGCAATCCTTTGGGAGAAGTGGTCCGCTTCTTCGAGACTTTCCATGCTGGGATCCACACTCAGTGTGCTTCGCAATGGTTCTTGCAGGGTCACGGTTAGTTTCGCACATCTTTGGTTCTGCCTGCCTGGTCCTGCCCAACGAAATGGGACTTGAGGAACTATCTCATTGTAAACGCCTGTCCCGAGATTCCCTACAAAGAGGCTGCCAGGGAATGGCTGTTGAGTGTCAATGTGGTTCAATAGCTTCCATGATGGCAGGCTGCCTTTCGGACCGGAAGGGTGGAGAGGTTCAATGTGAAGGATTGGATGCTTGTCCGGCGTGTTCACACGTTGACATCGTGCCACCAACGAGCTTGCTCAATCCGCCTGAGTGCTGGATTTTGGCTCGCAAAGTCCAGAGAAGGGCCAAAGAAGCTCTGCCAACATCATTTATTGCAGTTCAAGAATTGGACATGCTGCTTTGGTACTCTGAGGACTAGTGATGGTAGACAACCAATTGTCGGCATGGGGTTCAAAAAATATTTAAGGCATCAACAAATAAATATTTAAGGCATCAATAAACAAATAAATATTTAAGGGATCAAAAAAATATTCATTTTTCCTGCGCTGGTGCAGTGTTTTGGCCCTTTTATGCAATTTTCAAATCTTCTGGTCTTTGAATCTTCCGGCCCTTCAGTCCTCTCCCTTGGTCCCTTGGTCCCCTGGTCCCTTGCTCCTCTGGTCCCTTGGTCCGTTGGTCCTCTGGTCCCTTGGTCCTCTGGTATTCTGGTCCCTTGGTCCTTCCGTCCTTTGGTGGCTCTGGTGCCTCAAAACATTTTGAAGATAATCCTTAATTATAATTCAACCAGCCGTTAAAAAACACCTAAATCAGCCTCAATAACCCCTAAACTACCCCCCAAGCCAAAGTAAGTCTTAAAAGAATCCTAAACCAACCCTCAATCAGCCCTAAACTAACCCCAAATGAACCCTAAACATTCCTAAACAAATCTAACATAAACCCTAAACGAAACCTAAACGAACCTTAAATAAGTTGTAAGCGAAACCAAAATCAACTTTAAACCAATCGCAAATAATCCCTAAACAAACCCCAGATAAACCCTAAGCCACCCCTAAAAAAAACATAAGCCAACCGTAAATAAATCCTAAAGAACACTTATGAAACAAACAACGAACCAACCCTAAATAAATCCTAAGCAAACCCAAATAAACCACAAACCAACCCTACATAAATCCTAAACCAACCCTGAACCAACCAGAAGTAAATCACTAAACCAACTAAAGACACCGGAAACAAGACCTACATAGACTTTAAACCAACCCAAAATAACACCTAAACCAACCCTACAGAAACCCTGAACCAACCCTAAATAGACCTAAACCAACCACGAACCAATCCCAAATACATCCTGAATCAACCCTAAATAAACTTTGAACAGCCCCTACACAAATCTTAATACCAACCCTAAACAAACCCTAAAACCAACCCTAAATATACTAAACAAATCTTGAACCAACCCTAAATAAACAAACCACCAACCCTCAATAGATCCCAAACGAAACCTAAACGACAAAGCCTTGAACAAAATCAAAATAAACCCTAAACCAACCCTACATAAACACCAAAAAACTTTAAATAACTTTAAATTTTAAATAATATTTGGACGAAACCTAAATAAACCTTTTTACCAACCTGAATAGACACCTAGTAAACCATAGGCCAACCCTAAACTAACCCTAAACCAACCTAAGTCAACGTAATAGGCATCAAACCAAACCTAAATCAACCCTAAACCAAACATAAACAAACTTTAAACCAACATAAGTTTCAAAGCAATCATCGAACATCAAAAATTCGAACTCCAAAGTGTTGCAGGTGCTATCGAAACGGCAGCGTCGAGCCCTGCGAATGCTCGATTTCTAGGTCCAATGTCCTGCAAAAACCTTACGGGCGAGAGGCTCCACTTCCAAAACGATGCAAATACCACAGAAATGCTCGGCTTTGTGACCAAACTGTGGCAAGGGCCATAGAAAACAAGGGATTCCAGGGGAACATTTTTTTTTTGATGCCTTATTTATTTATTTTTTTAAATCCCTGACCCCCAATTGTCACCTAGTAAGAATAAGGATAATAAGATGTTTGACAGCCCACCCTTTGTACTGCCAGTGCCCTCTGCCGATGGAAAGATGCGGTTCTGGAGATATGGACCGTTCCGATGGTGGAGTGCACGGACCTGGAAAAGATTGAAGTTTGCTCACACAGAGGTGCAGCTCACACCGAGGTGAAAATCAGACTTCTGTTATCTTCTGTTCATGTGTGATATTTGTCGTTATTTTTTTGCATGCCTCCCGTTCTCTATGCAACCGGACCGCTTTCCTTCACAAACTTGTCGACACGTTGAAGTCCACTGTCCGTCTAGCAAAGGTAGACTCATCGTGCATTTGTGCCAGGCAATTTGGCCAAAGATGATCGCAAAACCAAAGTGCTCACAACAGCTGGTCTGAGCAAAGTCTTTGATCAGGGCTTTCGATGTGTAGCTTGACTTGATCCCAGGGATCCCTGCAGGTACAGTCACCGTGAAGGGTCAATCCATTTCAATCATACGAAGCCAGTGGCATCGTCACCAGGCGGACCTTGATCTTTCCAGAGATGGCAATGCACAGCGTGTGGGACATCCAGCGGATCTGGCACTTTTCCACAACGGATCCCTTCACGAGGCGAGCCGATCGTTTCAATATGTTTCTTTCCGTGGGCACTCCGGGTGGTTCGCCTGGTTGTTCACCGTATTAGCACCAGCCTGTGCAAGGATTGTAGAAAGAATAGAAAGATGATGTTGCATGACTTGCATGCGGGCAGGGGATAGATGGATTTGCATAGTTGCACTGGGGCAGTCAAACAGCATGTGAGGCGATGACTTTTCCAGAGCTTCTCATCGAAATGAAGCAAAGACGTCCAAGGCCAAGAATCTATACTATCTATACACTGTCTATAGTGTACAATGATGCGGCGTGCGTGTTTTCTTTGTTTTCTGCAGGAACACGATGGAACAACTGTTGGCCTTTCTAAGAAGCCCTCCATCTGCCAGGCTCATCGGCTTGGAGCTGAAGAGTTCTGAAGGCCCAGCTGAGCTGATGAAGCTCTTAGAAGACTTGCGCAAAGCTGGGCTGCCCTGGCAGAGCACAGCTGTGTGGTACCTACCCCAGGACGCTGTTCACAGATGTCCATGAATCTGTATGATTTGTATGATCCATATGAATCCATATGATGCGTACGCAACTTGCCGACACAAAGCTTGATGTTTGAGGATATTTCGCTCTTCAGCCAATTGCACCGACAACAGTATCCGGAGATTCTTGGCATCATGGTCGCTGGCTCAGCAGGCCTAGTGTCCGACACTGTTGCCTTGGTACCCAACCCAAGGGAAGCCAAGATGCACATGGAGGGCAAACCTACTCGTAAGTTCCAAAAACTCTGGAGGATCTCCATTTGGTTCCATTCCTGTGTTGGTATACCAAAGGGTAACGTTGCCCAAATGATGCCTTCTGAGGCCATGTTTGATCGTCCTTGGCACGGTGCTCCTGCTGCCTCCAATGAAAGTTTGGATCTTGCGGCTGAAGCTGGCATTCAAGTGCCACCTGGCTGAAGGTCCTTGCCGTTCCCGGGGTCGGAACTGTGTTCATTGAGAACTGAAAGATGATGAAACTTGGGGGTTTGACAACTTGATAATGCCCACATGTGCCCACTGAAGGCTCGGAAGCTCCGTCCATGTGAGCTCCCGGCTCCTGCGTGAAGGACAGCAGCGAGGCTTTCAAGTCTTAGCTTTTGGGGTCAACTCCAAGGCGGGGCTCCAAGAGACACAATGAGACACATGAAGGCAGTTGGGGTTGTGGTGCTGCTGATGCTATTTGTGGTCGATGCTGGTTGCTTGTGGTGCCATTGGTTGACATTGGATGGCAGGAAGACCTCATCAAAGCGGTTCAGAGCGGTGTGCACTTCGCGGTCTCGGACGACCCCTTGGCAGTCCGTGAGGCGCTCGAGGAACTGAGATCGAACCTTGACCGCACGAAAGCAGTCGGAATGTAGTCAAGGGGTACACGCCTGCAGCGAACAAGTTTGAAACGGATGGCTAAGGACCTTTGGATGTTCAGTGGGCTTCAACTTCCGGGCCAACTTCGTGGAGGTGGTCGTAGCAGTTCTGGCCATTGCTGCTTGCCTCCTGAGAATTTCATGGCGTCAGCGGCTTCAGATGCTGATTCTGCTGGCCTGTGGGTCAGTGGTTTGCTACCATGGATGGTGACGCCAGCGGAGCAAAACCTTGAGCGTAAACACTGAACACTTGGATCTATTTGGACCTACTATAGGCACGCAGATATATGCGTACTTATACGTGTACATGTATATTTTATATTTTATGTAATTTAATATTGACGTGCACACACACACACAGATATATATATATATACATACACACACACATATATATATACACACATATATATATATATATACACACATATATATAATATATAAATAACTATAGCTTTATTATAGTCTATATCATTTGGCTGACCCGTCAGTTGGTTGGCATTGAGGTGCAATTTTCTGCATTTCTGGCTTATATAGCTTGTTGAAGTCACATGAGCCAAAAAGGCAGTGGCTTTCGTGAACCACGGGGAGCGACAGCCCTTGGATTCAAGATGTTTCAAGATCCCTTTGGCCCTGCGGAAATATGAAGAACCTCGCAGGACGCTATGCATTGCCAATTTGTACAACTCTAGGATTCATTGGAGGTGTACCCAGCCCCAACTATTGTTGAGGATTCTTTTGACATCAAAAGCAGTTTTTGAACATTCCTTGTCTCATGCTAAAGCTGAGTGCGCAGTCGATTTGAGCCATGGTATCTTCATGGAAGCTGCGGCATGGCCAAAGATGTGCCTGATGCCATCATCCTTCCGGACCTGACTTCTATGAGGCCCATATTGCTCGTCTTTATGGCGGCTACAAGCGCGCCCAAAATTTGTACGGACGAGCAACCTACCAGAAGGACCCAGCGCAAGTGGATGCTGAGCGGAACGACGCATATATCTAATCTATTTCTCCCTTTTTGATCGGAAGTGCCCTAGCTGCAATCTTAGACTCTTAGAGGAAGGGTAGCGGATCAGCGAGTTTCTTGTGAAGATTCATTGATTTGTCTCTTTTTAAATTATCCATGTAAATCAAAAGAAGAAGTGGATATGGCGTCCAAACAAACCAGAAACTTTATGGCCTTGGGGACATTTGGGGATCGCATACAAGCCGTTCTGACTCAATGTCATGCAGGTGGTGCGTTGGAACTCAGCTTGGTGCCTGCATCAATCAGACTGCCGAGAACCAACGGTTGCCATTCGTGTTGATGTACCAGGAACCTTGGTCAAACCTGGTCTTCATCCCCTGAAGTACTGTAATTTATGATAATTATAATTTTATGTGTTAGTTTGCCTATCAAGTTTTGCAAGTTAAGGGCTTTCATGCCGGTGACCAACATCAGTTCAATACGGCGTAGCACCAGGGGCCCTTTAGGGATACCCCAACCATCCCCATTCTAAGTGGATTGGTCTCCTCGGCGGTGAATATGACTGGACCAGGACCTGAACTCAGCTGGGGTTTGGATGTTGGAAGCTATGGGATATTTCAGGGGATTCAGGGGAGGATGGGGATGTCTCTTCTTGCCAGGTACTTTGTGCAGCATGACAGTGGGACGGCAGCATGAATATACATGATTATGTATATATATATATAAATTGGAAGTTTCAGGGTTCCGGTGTATCAATTCTTGGCCCCAATTGGACAGCCGCTGGGCCATTGGTTTCCACCCATCCAACCTGCGAGGTCTCCCAATGACTCATATGTGCTATGATCAAAAGCTGGATATACCATCTGGTTATTTAACATAGCCATGAAAAATCACCATTTTAATAGGTAAATCAACTATAGATGGGCCATTTTCAATAGCTATGTTGAATAACCAGAGGGTAACCTCATTGGGGGAATGGTCACAAATGGTCATCAATCCATTGATACGGATTCATCGTGGTGTGGATGAGCATACCCGACACACCACATATCACGTTTTGGCCTGCTTTGACCATGGCACATGGGTCACGTAGGTATCACAGCACCAACCAGACTGCCAGGAGCCAATGGCCAGTTTGATCGCCTTCTGTTCCTCGAGCCCCTGCAGCTTCCCGCAGAGGCGGCCGATCCTCGTGCCTTACCAGCGTTTGGTCCTGGTGAGGACTATGGATCTGGAATTCCTTGATTTGCAGTCCTTTTTTTTTTGGTTGAGTTGTATCGGCTCATATTTTCTAATCCGATATTCACTATATTCACTGATGTGATGTGCTCCAGCTTGAAGGACATTGAATCCATGTTGAAGCGGCTCATGGGGCGGCGAGGGCCAGATCCCCGTGTTAATCAGTGGAAACTGAGTCCAGGCCGCGACTGGTGGGCGACTGGCGACTGGATCTGGGATTGGAATTGCTACATTTCCATTGAATCTGAGGGGGTATATATATATATATACACGCATATATATATATACACGCACACACACATATGTATATATATATGCTTTTACTATGGAGGAATCCAACTTCATACTATTTCCACAGCATGATCATACTGTACTGTATATAGATCATAGTGACATAGTGCACATTAGTGCACAAATTCCTGACCACCTGGAAGGGAAAAAAACATCCTGACCACATGGCGCCCCAATGGCGCCCCATGCCGCAGGTATGGCGACATCACCTAGTGCACTGGAGGTCAGGCCTTAGCAAAGCTTCCCCAAGGCGCTCCGCTGTAGGATGCAGCGGAATGTTAGGGTACTGACGGGTAGTGGGATTGGGATTGGGCCACTTTTGGGGCCTGCATTTGTGGCACTGCGCTAACTGGCATTTTTTTTGCATCCTTTTGCAGTTGTTGGGTGGTTGCAAGTCTTAGGCAATCCAACGCTGTTGTGATGATTTGCAAGGTTGGGCTGAGTGGCACCAACCCATCAGAAGTCACAATCACACGCTCTGTGCTTGCTTCGCTACGTGAATATCCCGGATATGTTGAAGCGCTCTTGACCCAAACCCCATCTACCAACGAAGCTGGGAAGTACTGCGTGCAGCTCTTTGATATGTGGCAGCGGAGGTGGAGATACATTGGCGTGACTCGATCTTATTGAGCAGTTGAAGTTACCAATCTCGTCTTCTAGGTGGATGACTTCATGCCCGTCCGTGCTTTTCCCACAGGTGGTAGGCACTGGGCGGGGGGCGCCTTCTACTCCTTGTGGGTGATGTTGCTGGAGAAAGCGTTTCCTGGCTCAGAACTTTTTGTAACCAGCTTGGCTAGATTAGGAAGGCGCGATTGGACAACCCCCAGCTCCAAGTGGGTCGTTGGGTCGCAGAGGTTGGCCAAATTGTGTGGCAGCTACGAAGCCCTCAGGGAGTCGCACCATGGCACCCTGTTGATGGCACTGACAGGCGGATGGATCGGAAGGGATGCATCCATACAGCAAGACCAGTGCTGACTTTTTGAGGATATTTACCTTCAGTAATTCAATGTAATTCAACAGAGCTACGGAGAATCACTGTTCTAAATACAGTAAGCAATCTAGATCAAAACATATCAAAACTATAAACGGACACTTTTCCATATGTTAAATTACCGGAGGGGACCAACTCTGAACACTCAGCGATCAATACAGTGACGAGTGACTAACATGTATATCCACCACTTCAATTTGTTAAATGGTCTATGGATGTCTATGGTTTGAGGACCCATTGAAAGCGTTGGTCCGTGCAGGCCAGACAGAAAAGCTACAGCACTGGCGGAAAGACGTGGCGCTACCGGCTGAGGCTGGACGATGAGCGTCTGGATCCACGGGAAGATCCTCGCAACAACGGCCTCGTGCAGGTGGCATGGGCATGGGCACGGTTTTTACAGCTGCAGAATGGTGAAGGAACTTGAAGGTGAAACATGGCGAACACGGTCTATGGCTGTAAAATGGTGTAAATACAGAACTGACTGAGTGATTTTCTGAGAGAAAAGAGTTGGTGACTCTGACTTCTGGCTGATGAAGGGCCATGGCTATTCCATCCTGGACTTCCTTGTGGAGGATGCGCTGTACCTTGTACAACTGCACAACATTTGGGACTCCAAGACATGGGGAGGCTGGGAAGACGAGCAGAGAGTGAACCATGTTGAACCTCGTCAACTCCTTTCCAGTGTGCATTTTGAATCCTCAGGTGCTTGGGCAGAGGACTCAGAGGACTCAGAGAGCCGCCGTGGTACACTGAATTGGCCTGGAACGCTAGGAATTTCAGCTCACCTGCACTGAAACCAAGCTAAAACTTTGGAGGAGTGGTTACGATTCCCAGATGTTCATCGTCATGTCTTCCGTCGGGAGCACAAGAGTGCAGGCCTGTGTGGTCAGGACATGTCTCTGCATGTCAGGGGCCCGGTAGAAGGCATCCTAATACAATCTAACACATTATCCTGATGTGTGATCATGCGTCGTGCTTGGCAGCAGTGCTAGGCGGCTCAAGATAAGATGGATCCGACTCAAGATATCTCAAGATATAAGGCATCGCAAAACATCTCAAGACAAGCCTGAGCTAAAGCGCAGCGGCGGCCGTTGAAGGCAGAAAGCAATCGGTTTGAGACCGTTCAAATCTGTTTAGTTTAATTCATTCCCTCGTCAGCCATGGGTAGCCGAAGCTGGCTTGGAGCTTTTGCTTGCTTTGCCACGTGGCTGTTTGTACACAGGCGGGGTATGGCGGGGCTGCGGGTTTGCATTCGTTCCCACTCGCCGTCCATGCTGCCCTCAGGTTCAGCTCAGGCTGGGCAGCTCCCACCTTTTTCGCGCTGTGCTTGGGTTGCCTATATCTTTGGTTCCTGGTTTTGCGCGTGCCCAAGTTGGGTGAAGAGCTGGCCGAGGCCGGGCTTATAATCTTCATTTATCATTGGACGATGGTGGGGCATAGGGCATAGTGGGCGTTAGAGGTGACACAAAGCGTATCGTTCCATTTCTGGCACGCACAACATGACACGTCTTGCAGTGCCAAGAGCATCCCTGGGTCTCTGTGCTCCAGGCATGGCCTGAAGAATCTGAACTGCTGACACCAGATCCCACGACGGCCACGACGGCCACGACGGCCACGACGGCCACGACGGCCACGACGGCCACGACGGCCAGGGCCACGCCAGTGGAGGCACCTGCGGAGCAGCCTGCGGAGCAGGCTGCGGAGGGCACTGAGCCGTCTCACTGTGCTGCGATGCCAATGAGCGATGCAGAAGTTTCTGTGGCGAAGGGATCTGGAGAGGCTGGCACGGTTGAGGTTTGACATCTTTGAATTGATGGTTGTTGGAAACATTGTTGGAGATGATATTTCAATTGGGCGAGGTTTTGCCGCCAAGGTGATGTTGAAGAAACAATATAGTCATATAGAAACAAAAACCATAGATCACCCCACTGTAGCGCTGTGATTCTGCAATGATGGGACCTGGTTGTCTCTGTTGTCAGATGTTGCCCAGTTTTTTTTGTGTTTTTCTTCTGTCACCTAACCGCAGCTCTAGTTGTTTCCCAGGAGCCGGAGAAGCTGGAAGCAGACGCCCAAAATCCGGAAGAGATTCAGAATTTTGATGAGCAGGTCAAACTCTGTCAAACCATGTCAAACATTGTCATATTATGTCAAACTATGGGAGGTGAGTATGGTGAGTAAGGTTCTATGAGAGCAATGATGCACGCTGATCCATGTTGCAGTTTAGGCATTTTCAGGGTGGTTTTCTGGCCGCACAGCAATCCCTCAAAGTTGCTCTCCAGTGATGCAAGCCGCTGCCGTAATGGTGCAAAAAACAATCTCTGCGACAGGTCACCGATGAGGGTCAAGAGACCGAGGGGCCCGCAGAAGCAACGCCAGATGCGAGCGAACAACATGCTGAGCCGGATGCTGATGTCGACGACATGGTGGATGCGGCGAAGGCACAAGAGCTTAGATTGGAGGGCAATGAACACTTCAAGGCAGGGCGTGACACGCAATCAAAACATATCAAAACCATATCAAACATATTCAAACGTGCTCCATTTTCAAGGGGTTGACAAGATGGGGCTTAAAGCAGCCACGAATCTTGCCAGGCAGGGCGACTGCATGATGCCAGGGAGGCCTACTCAGAAGCCTTGCACTTGAGTCCACCAGCCGGAGATCCGAGCTCGGAAGCAAGCAAGGTCGACTGGGGTGAACATGATTAACAATGATGTCGTATTTCTAGCATCACTCTGTGGCTTTCCTGGGGTGCTGGTTTACTGACAAGTAGTCGATGTAATTGCCAAGGATTCCCAATTGCGGAACGTGAGTGAGTCGGCATTGTCTGCAATCAGCCGGCACTTAGAGTTCCAAGCAACGTGTGCTACTTGCCATTGAATGGCTTTGCAGGACAGGGCAGTGTTGCACTGCAACAGGGCTGCTTGTCTTCAGCGTCTTGAGCGCTGGGATGATGTGGTGAAGGACGGAACAGGCATGAGATCCATGAGCAAACATCTGCAAACGCTGCAGCGGCAGTGGAGGTTGACGTATGTTGACGTAAGGTGGTAGGGCGATGTGTAGCCACACGTTGGGGCTTAACCACAATGGTATTGAACGATTTGAAAGCATCCCCTCCCAGCAACTAACATACGGACCGCTACGTTGATGAGAGCAGTTAGGATGCAGCTTGGCATTGCCAGGACTGTTCGCAGGCAATCAAGCTCGACCCATCGCCCCCGTGACTGCAAGCAGGGTGTATTTTTTAACCGTTGATCATGATGATTCTATACATTCTATGTATATATATATGAGTCTGATGATTTTCTGACAGCAAATGCATTAGACATCTTTGGACTTCAAAAGTCCCCTCTCAGTGGCAGAATGCTTTTGCCGTGACAAAGGTACGTGAAAGCTTTTGCTCGTCGCAGTGTCGCTTATGAAGAGCTGCAAAAGTGGCATGATGCCTTCGAGGATCTGAAAAAATCTGTGGAACTCGACCCATCTTTGCGTGCGAAAGACTTGTGGCAGAACAAAATAGCAAGTTTTCTTTGTGCTGTGAATTTTCAAGTCAAACTTTTTTTAGCCCCTTCCGGCCTGCTGCCAGAAAAGAAAAGAATTCATAAACTGTCGATTCGAAAGTTTCAATAGGTCCTGCAAGGAGCTAGCCGCCTAGAAAGAACCAGATGCTTTCTGCCAAAAGCCAGATTTGCAGCTGGACAGGAAAGCCGACGCATAACTATTCTGGAGAAACGGGCGCAGGAGCAATTTGAGAAAGACAAAGATGAAATGCTGTCCAAGCTGAAGGACCTTGGAAACACTGTTTTGGGGAAGCTTGGCACCTACTTCGAACCTCTCAGGGGTGACATGGGGTGACAATTCTTGGTGGTGCCAGCTTTCAGCATGCCACCGCCCTGTGCCACAATAACATACCCCCTCTGAATAATATGTTAATTGGTTATTGCAGTGGGTTATGCTGCCGGATGATTATAGCGCATCAGTATACTGTAAGTAGGGATTGTTTGCTGCTATCAACCAACCAGTACAGTGATGGGGTGGGATCGGGTTCAACAACACTTGAAAATTGATTCAGCCCAGGAAATTTGGCATGTCGACAGACAACTTCAAATTGGAGCAAGACCCAGACACTGGTAGTTACTTGGCGTGTTTCCATTCTAAACTTGTTTGGCTTTGTGCATCTCTTCATCATGGACTCCTAGTGCAAGTCACCCTCAGATGTTGGCAATCCATCTATACTATACTCCACCAAGCTCCAGCTTTTCCCCCCACCAGTTGCAGATCCCTCCCACTTGCCAGCATGAGTTCTGTGGAAGGTTATTCCATCAAATTCCAGAACTGAGTGGACGAAGTGGACCGAGAACACTGCAGTGCCAATGTGTAACATTCACATGCTGATTGTACAGGGTGATGACGGCCGAAAAAGCTATGCTTGGGGCTTTTGGCCGAGGTGAATATGCAGTAAACTCACAACAAGGAAAAACGGCAGGTTTTTGCAGTATGCGCGCACGCATGTTCACTGCTCCTCAAACATACATTCATATCAACAGTAGGCATGCACACACACACACACATTACTTATTCTCACAGGAATGATGCAGCATACTGACCAGCAATGCATATTATGTTTGCACAATGTGTTGGGAAACTGAATGTGCACACATCCGCGTGCACCTTCCACAAACTCTGCTTGCACACGTCCTCCTATTAGCCATGGCACGTTTGCAGGCCGTTTCTGGATGTCATGAACTGACTTCTGCGAAATCTTTGACGAAGTTGAAGTTTGTCTCATGGATGAATGTGCCAAGAAGGCGGGGCCAAGGCTTCAGAGCCATAGAGTGAGCCATAGGCGGGAAAATTTTTGAAAGTTGAAATTGAAATCATCAAGTGCCTAAAATGATCCTCAGTCAGATTCACACAGTCAGCGATAGTCAGAGTGGGAGAGCCCATCTCCATCGGTCTCCAATGGCTCCACATATTCCCTTCGCGCCAATGGCGCGCCAGGCTTCTCACATGCCGCCCAAGCTGCAGAACTGGAAGCCGAAGTGGGATTGGCTCCTTCTTGGGTCTATGGAGGTGTGGGAGCCCCTTGTACATTGTGCTTGGTTTGCACACACACACACACGTATACACATATAATTACATGTTTATTTAGGCAATTACATATTACATATCTATCTGTCTGTCTGTCTATCTATCTATTTATCTATCTATTTATCAACTCTATATATCTAATTATCTATCTATCTATCTATCTACCTACCTGCCTATCTACCTACCTATCTATCTATCTGTCTATCTATCTATCTATCTTCACTGAAAAGTTTGGGGGGTGAGACCCAAATGGGGTGAGGAAAAACCCTTTAAAAATATGAGAAAACATGGGAAATTAGGGAAAATAATGGAAGATAATGAAAAACATATGACAACATGACAAGGGACATAAAAACATGACAATTTGAGAATTTGACAGTTTGCGAGAACTGTGGCTCAAATTTCTCAGTCAGTGCGCTTGGATGGTATCCAGCACGAGTTTGCAATGTCAAGGGCTCAGGTTCGTACAAAGCCTGTGGGCAGATCCATCACATGTGATTCTCAAAGGAGAATCAGGACAGCAGTGGTCTCCTGTTTCTTGTAGGTCAAAACATCTTCAAATGAACGAGCTTGAAATGATTTGAAATGGCAGGGTCTCACAGAGGGCAAGGTAGGGCAGGGTCTCGCCCATCAAACACCTTCAAATGAATTAAAACAGATGGCAGGGTCTCACACATCAAGGAAGGCAGGGTCTCACAGAAAGGCAGGGCTTCACAGAAGACAGGGTATCGCCCATTAATCAAAGGCAGGGTCTCACAGAAGGCAGCACAGAAGGAAGGCCCTCGCAGAAGGCAAAGCGTCACAGAAGCCAGGGTCTCACAGAAGGCAAGGTCTCACAGAAAGCAAGGCGCGTCACTCATAGCAGGGACTCACACAAGGCATGGTTTCACATCTGAAACAAAGGCCTGGTTTCACAGAACACAAGGTGTCACATGTTGAACTGAGGCCTAACTCTCACAGAAGGAAGGGCCTAGCAGAAGGCAGGGCCTCACAGAATGCAAGGTCTCACAGAGGGTCTCACAGAAAGGCAGGGTTTCACAGAAGACAGGGTCTGGCCCACTAAACAAAGGATAACAAAGGCAGGGTCTCACAGAAGGCAGGGGGGTGCCAAGCCTAGTTTGGCTACAGGCATGCGTATCACATATGACGCAATGCAGGGTCTCACACAATAGACAGGGAAACAAAGGATTCCGCACCTGAAGGTGTTTTAGCTGTGAAATCACACGCTCCCGAACTGTTGCTCTCCTCTGCTGCTCCCACACGCGAGCTGCTCTTGCTCACTTTCTGGTTGGCGGCAGAATGGCAGGACCGGCCCTGGACACTCTTCCATGACTGAAGCTTAAGATTTTATATTTGGCCTATACTAGGAGCAAGATTCAATCTATAGATATGTAGCACATTTTTCGATATAAATTAGAACAGATGGCAAGGTCTCACACATCAAGGAAGGCAGGGCCTCACAGAAAGGCAGGGCCTCACAGAAGACAGGGTCTCGCCCATTAAACAAAGGCAGGGTCTCACAGAAGGCAGGATATCATAAAAGAAATTAAGTCAGGCTCTCACAGAAGGAAGGGCCTCACAGAAGGCAAAGCCTCACAGAAGCCAGGGCCCCACAGAAAGCAAGGCCTCACAGAAGCCAGGGTCTCACAGAAGGCAAGATCTCACAGAGGGTCTCACAGAAAGGCAGGGCTTCACAGAAGACAGGGTCTCACCCATTAAACAATGGCAGGGTCTCACAGAAGGCAGGGGGGTGCCAAGCCTAGATTGGCTACAGGCATGCGTATCACATATGACGCAATGCAGGGTCTCACACAATAGACAGGGAAATAAAGGATTCCGCACCTGAAGGTGTTTTCACCCGTGAAATCACACGCTCCCGAACTGTTGCTCTCCTCTACTGCTCCCACACGCGAACTGCTCTTGCTCACTTTCTGGTTGGCGGCAGAATGACAGGACCGGCCCTGGACATTCTTCCAAAACTGAAGTTTTAGGGTTTTATATTTGGCTAATGATAGGAGCAAGATACAATCTATAGATATGTAGCACAGTTTTCGATATAAATTAGAACAGATGGCAGGGTCTCACACATCAAGGAAGGCAGGGTCTCACAGAAAGGCAGGGCTTCACAGAAGACAGGGTCTCGCCCATTAAACAAAGGCAGTGTCTCACGGACGGCAGGGTATCATAAAATCAACTAAGTCAGGGTCTCACAGAAGGAAGGGCCTCACAGAAGGCAAAGCCTCACAGAAGCCAGCGTCTCACAGAAGGCAAGGCCTCACAGAAGCCAGGGTCTCACGGAAGGCCAGGTCTCACAGAGGGCAAAGCTTCACAGAAAGCAAGGTGTGTCACTCACAGCAGGGACTCTCACACAAGGCATGTTTTCACATCTGAAACAAAGGCATGGTTTCTTAGAACACAAGGTGTCACATGTTGAACTGAGGCCTAGCTCCCACAGAAGGCAAGGTCTCACAGAAAGCAAGGCCTCACAGAGGGTCCAACATTATGAACAAAGGCAGGGTCTCAGAGAAGGAAGGGTCTCACAGAAGGCAAGGCCTCACAGAAGCCAGGGTCTCACAGAAGGCAAGGACTCACAGAAGCCAGGATCTCACGGAAGGCCAGGTTTAGCAGAGGGCAAAACTTTAGAGAAAGCAAGGTGTGTCACTCATAGCAGGGACTCACACAATAGACAGGGGGAAACAATGGATTCCGCACCTGAAGGTGTTTTCCCTTGTGAAATCACACGCCCCCGAACTGTTGCTCTCCTCTACTGCTCCCACACGTGAACTGCTCTTGCTCACTTTCTGGTTGGCGGCAGAATGACAGGACCGGCCCTGGACATTCTTCCATAACTGAAGCTTAGGATTATATATTTGGCCTATGATAGGAGCAAGATACAATCTATAGACATGTAGCACATTTTTCGATAAATTAAACAGACGGCAGGGTCTCACACATCAAGGAAGGCAGGGTCTCACAGAAAGGCAGGGCTTCACAGAAGACAGGGTATCGCCCATTAAACAAAGGCAGGGTCTCACAAACGGCAGGGTATCATAAAATAAACCAAGTCAGGGTCTCACAGAAGGAAGGGTCTCACAGAAGGCAAAGCCTCAAAGAAGCCAGGGTCTCACAGAAGGCAACGCCTCACAGAAGCCAGGGTCTCACAGAAGGCTCACAGAGGGCAAAACTTTACAGAAAGCAAGGTGTGTCACTCATAGCAGGGAGTCACACAAGGCATGGTTTCACATCTGAAACAAAGGCATGGTTTCACAGAACACAAGGTGTCACATGTTGAACTGAGGCCTAGCTCTCACAGAAGGCAGGGCCTCACAGAAGGCAAAGCCTCACAGAATGCAAGGTCTCACAGAAAGCAAGGTCTCACAGAGGGTCCAATATTATGAGCAAAGGCAAGGTCTCAGAGAAGGAAGGGTCTCACAGAAGGCAAAGCTTCACAGAAGCCAGGGTCTCACAGAATGCAATGCCTCACAGAAGCCAGGGTCTCACGGAAGGGCAGGTCCCACAGAGGGCAAAGCCTCACAGAAAGCAAGGTGTGTCACTCATAGCAGGGACTCACATAAGGCATGTTTTCACATCTGAAACAAAGCCATAGTCTCACAGAACGCAAGGTCTCACATGTTGGACTAAGGCCTAGCTCTTACAGAAGGCAGGACCTCACAGAAAGGCAGGACCTCACAGAAGGCAGGGCTTGATCACAGAATGCAACGCCTCACAGAAAGCGAGGTCTCGCAGAGGGTCTAACATTATGAACAAAGGCAGGGTCTCACAGAAGGCACTGGAGGGAAGGCCTCACAGAAACGCAGGCTCTCACAGACTGCAGGGCCTGACTGAAGGCAAGGCCCAACATGTGAAAGAAGGCTGGGTCTCATAGAAGGCAGGGTCGCACATAGGACAGAAGGCAAAACTTCACATGTGAGAAAAAGCAAAGTCTTACATGTGACAAAAGGTAGGGTCTCACATATGGCAGAAGAAAGTCCCGCATATGACAGAAGGCAAGCTCTCACACGCGAAAGAAGGAGGGTCTCGCACATGACACATTGCAAGGTCTCACAGATCTAACAGGGTCTCTCGCCTATGACAGAAGGCAGGGTCTCACACACGAAAGAAGGAAGGGTCTCACAGATGACAGATTGCAAGTCTCACAGATCCAGGACAGAAGCCTAGCAGGGTCTCACAGAAGGTAGGGTCTCTCAGAAGGCAGCGTCTCACAGCAGTTGGAAGGGTCGGAATAGG